ACCCGTGTTGGCCAAGGACCCTGCTATGGCCTTCCATTGTTCGAATTCTGATCGAAATTCAAAATTTACCTCCGGCAAGAAAGGTTGGGGGGAGTGGGGACTGGTTGCACCACTCGGCATTGGCCAACGTTTTGAATGCATGTGGACGTGGATCTTGGCCGATGGCGAGGGTGCAACTACTTTTGATAGACCCCCGACGTGATGAAGGTTGCAGGGGTGATGGCGGTTGAGGACGAGGATGCCCATGGAAGGATTGGGCGCCAAACTCCACGGTCACACCGAAGCCGCAGGCTGTCTGAAACCTGAGTTTCGGCCTCGCTCCCCTACCCAACGCTGGACATGCATCTGGACCTCTTTCTAAACTGGATGCGTGCAAAATGTTACACTCGTTGGAATACACGTGGTATACACGTGGTCCAGCAAGCGTCCACGTGGATGGATGTAGAATGTTGTGTAGGGGAGCGAGGAGAATGGGGAAAGAGTTAACTTGTGCAGAGTGACAAACGAACAGGAAGGGAAGAAGAAGGAGACAAGAAGAAGTAAGCGTAAGCAGGGCGACGGGAAGAAAGAGGAAGGAGAAGAAAACGTAACGTGTACCGTGTACAACGCGGGGGAGTGCTGACTATATTATGCCACGTGGAATGCATGTCGGATGGAGTAGGATGAACCAAGTGAAGGTGGCTGGTCTGCCAAGTGTTAAGGCAAGTTCGATCGGACTTGGACGAAACGACGACGGACGCCCGGGGGTATTGTCACGTGAAGGGTACAGAGAAGGGAGACTGTACCTCGCGAAAGGCACATTGGAATACAAAGCAGAAGAAGAAGAAGAAGAAGAAGAAGAAGAAGAAGAAGAAGAAGAAGAAGAAAAGAAGAAGAATAGTGATAAACAGAGGCCAAAGACTTGTCTTCCGTGCACGCTTCGATAAAATTTCCGTACGCATCCGCATGCACTACGTAGGCTCTGAAGAAGAAACGCGCTCATTGCCCTACGCACGTCTCAGCCAGGAAGCGCACCTGACGCTCATTAGGGGCCTTCTCCTCGGATCCGCCTTATCGCAACCACCTGCTTGTCCAGCCATTGACCAATTGGGCCGACGGCCTTGGCCGAATGGAGGGAAGGGTTCGTTCTGTGGCGTGGTAGATCGTCGGGATCGCGGTCGGACTAGGCATCATCACCATCATCATCATCATCATCATCATCATCACCATCACCATCGCCAGCAGCAGCAGGTGCAGCAGCAGGTGCAGAAGAAGAAGAAGAAGAAGAAGAAGAAGAGTGGCAAACAGCGGCCAAACTGTTTTTCGTACATGCTTCTCGATCTTTCCCATGATTCCAAAACCGCACGTACAACTCGTGAGTAACGCCTTTGCATGTTTCGGCTACCTTCTTCCCCCGAATACAACGTACGGTCATTATAGCTGTATTTGAGGCATCTTTCAGTCTAGATACAGCTATAATGACCGTACGTTGTATTCGGGGGAAGAAGGTAGGTGAAGATGGAGTCGGTTAGATACGAGGAGGGAGAAAGGTTTACGTCGTGCCACGTGCCAGGCGCATCGAAGTTCGCAACCTCACATCCATTTGACCCTGTTTTGTTCTTCCTTCCCCTCCTCCCCCCTCTCGCCCTCGCCCCCCTCTCCGCCCTTCCCCCTTAAATCCCCTACCCCCTCTCGCCACCCCCACCTTAAATGCTTAGGAGGTAGAGGGATGTTCGCTTTGAATGAACGACCGCTACCTGTCACGACTGCCATGGTTACCTTGAATGAGCGACACGCCCTTTTCCAGCTGATAGATTCGATTGACAATCCGACGACCAAAGGCTTTTTTCTTCCTCACACGGGTTGGCTGCGCCGGATTTTTCAGTAAGAAGTAGGTGTGGGGGGGGGGGGGGGGGGAGAGAGCGGGGATTAACAGCGCGGCGGTTACGTCGGGATCGCAGCGAGAGGAAGAGGTAGAAGAAGACGGAAGGAAGGGGGCGAAGAGTAAGATTTTATATTATAGTAGTGTAATTGCAAACAGTGGGCTATAGCTGCTCGCCTGCCATCATTTCCTCAGAGAACGTGGGAGAGAAGCCGGCTCTCAGCCACTTACTGCTGGCCACTAATTCCCTCCCCCCCCCCCCCCCCCCCAACAAAGGTGAGCAGTATTCTTCTCTCAATTTGGCGTCTCACTACTTACCTACAACTACTCCTAAGCCTATACAGGGAGCCCCTGTAAGCATAGCTACCTCTCCCAATCAAGGGGATGCATGTTGGCCCCTCGCCCTAATCGTCGGTGGTCAGGGAGTACGGTGGGGCCGCCGGTGGGGCCGGCCGGATAACGCAAAGACCGAGCATTTTGCCAGTACCTGCCCCTCCCATCTACTTCTCCCCCCCCACCATGGAATAACGGCAGTGTGTATGGCCAGCACTCACGCACCACTCACAACCTCCCCCCCCCCCCCCCCCCCCCAACCCCCCCCCCACACACACCCGTGATGGACAAAGACCCTATCAGTACTGACGAGGAGAGCAAGCGAACTATCTCGGTTGGTTGGCTCTAATAAGCGTGCCTAGGCGGTGGGGATTGAACCCACGACCTCCTGAATGCCACTTGTGTGCCTAACCAACTGAGCTAGGCCGCTTGCTCCTTGCCGCTATTCACATGCCCCAAGGTTCCCCAAGGTACTAGGAGAGGGACAAGTTCTGGAATAGAAAGAAGGAGAGAGGGAGAAGTTCGCGCGTGCCGTTGGCGGAGTAGGTGGGGGTGGCTCAGGCGGTCAGTGCGGATTGAATCCACGACCTCCTGATTGCCACTTGTGTGCCTACCGAACTGAGCTCGCCCGCTTGCTTCTTGTCGCTATTCACATTCCCCAAGGTACTAGGAGAGGGACAAGTTCTGGGTAAAAAAGAGAGGAGGAGGGGGAGAAGTTCGCGCCTGCGGTTTGGGAAGGACGTGGGCTTGGCTCAGGATGAGACGCGGATGAGGGTTTTGAGCGGAGGGGCTGTGGCAGGGTCTCACTCAATTGGAATCGGAAATTTCTTGCCACGCCTCCCAAAAATGAAGGGAGCTTGAACCAGGCTCAACCCTCCAGGGATTCAGGGAGATTATTCTGCTCTGCTAGGACTTTCCTGGATGAATCTGATCGGAATTACGGCCAGTCACCGACGTATTCGACCGCAATTACGTCCGGAAGAAATCAGTCAAATAAGTCCTAGCCTGTGTCTGCCCCCTCAGACAATTCTAGAAGAGCAGGGATTTATTATTATTATTATTATTATTATTATTATTTTTTTTTTAACCAAAGACACACCCTGTAGTGCTAGTGATACTGGTTAAAAACAGATACCATTAGCACCCAGGGGAGTCTCCATCTATTGGTGGGAGCAGGAGAGGGAGGGGATTAACGGGTTATTTTGGGTTTGATTTATGCCGCAACTTTTTTTTTTTTTTTTTTTTTTAATAACATTATGCCGCAACTTTCCGAACAAGTGAAAGGCAAATGAACATTTGGCGAAGGAAAAAACGCGCATGCAACCAATGAGATTTTCATAGGAATTTATTTACACAATTTTACAGTAATAAGTAAATCTTCAAATCAACGCCGATAACGGACAAGTAATTTCCTCCTCTCCCTCCTTTCTCCCCCTTCCCCCCCTCCCCC